ACGTACATTCCCTTAGTTTAATTTGAAACTGATTGCATCAATGAAGTTTTTGCATTTGAATATATCGGAGCATATGTATTTCAACCTCCATTAACATTTTTCTTTATGTTATAGTACTTTTTTTTTGAATGCGCAAATGAAATCTTGGCACTACAACTGCGGCAAAAATTGAAAAGCTCGCGTTTTAATCTTAACTAACGATGCATGGAAGCAAAATTTTCCTGTTTTGAGGACTTACAGACATGGAGTCGACTCTATTAGATACTGTGGAAATGAAAATCTGAATAAAAATAATACATTCAAACGGCTGCAAAACTAAAAAAACGTTTGTCCCTCTTTAAACTATTGACTTTTTGAATACACATATCAAATATTATCCTATATATTGCATAAACTCATTCAAGGACTTCTGTTATGAAAATAGAAAAAATAAACTATTTATAAGCAATACCTGCTATCCAAAATAGTACCTAATTCAAATTTCATTTGATAATTGTATTTTTTTATTTTGAAAGCTGTGACATACACACTATATACATTAACTATTTCCTATTTTCGTAATGAGACTTGATGACTAGGTTTTTGCATGCTAGAAAATTTTGCAGGTCGTTTATATTAAATCAGCAACCTTGCAGTATATGGTACTATACCAAACGAAGTTAGTTACATAATGGATAATTCGGTAACCGTTTCCTAAGCTTTAAATAAATGGGTTTCATACGACAGAACCGCATTGTCAATCAGCTATACAAATATTGATTAAAACAGTTTCAAAACAGTAGTTAATAGTTTACCTAGATTCACAATATTTGCATTTGTATCTAGGAGTGTCGTCTCACTGTTACTTTTTCAAAAAGAGAATTAAAACTATTTGCCATTTGTATGAATCTTTCTCAAAACGACAAATGAAATCGTGTGACTAATCAGAATCCTCGTGTTTTTTATTTTCTCATGAGCTTATTTATTATCCTCCAGCGTTTCTTCATTATTCGAAGACACATTTAAAAACTAGAATTTCTGTCTGATATACAATAAGTTCCTTAAAGTTGATGTAATATCAGTATATTTACGGATTTACAGACCAACTAGAAGTAGTAGCATGAATTCTCTCAATTTGTCGTTGTCAAAGAACATCGGTCAATTTGACATCCTGTCTGGGACTGGTCACCAGCAAGAAACCAAGAAGAAGATTTAATTAATATAAAGAAGCAAAGAAATAGGAATGGAAAAAAGACTAGTTTTGATTCAAGAAAATGATTTTAGTGGTTAGAGTATGCGAGCTGCAGCCTTGAATGTTTGCGAATGTATGGTCCATTGACTCATGTAACAAAGGGTTGCAATAAGATTCCGTTTGTTCATACCATCGCGTCGCATGTCGTTTAATGTGATTACCTAAATAAGGTATATGACGGTCTCGGAGTATGGTCTCATTTGAGACATACAATAGCATTGCTTCACTTACAGAGCTCTCATGTGCGTTTAGGCTAGGACCTAGCTACTTTATTATAGTAAAGTATTTTCATGCAGTTTTTGTTTTTGCGCCGAAATCCTTGTAAGCTTAATCCTCAAACCCTAATGGAAAATCTGTGTAATGCTAATTAAGCGTCAACATTGAGGATCCATGGCGGGGGAGGGTAAATTGTTGATTCTGGACTTACATTGAGCTGTTCGGTTATCCTAAAATTATACATTATACATTATAACATCGTTAGCACTACTGGAATTAGGAATAAAACTTGTAGAATTGGAAGAAATAGTTTTTCAAACGTAACTCCGCCATCCTGGTCACATTTTCAAAACATATAAATCACTTATATGTTCGTCATACTTTAACGATGATTGATAAAACGGTAACACCGTTGACACTACAGTAATTAGAAATAAAATTTGTACAAATAGAAAAAATATTGTTTTGAGCATAACTCTGCCATCATGGACACATTGTCAAAACCTATCTCTTATACATGGTGTAAGGTTAGTAGTGGATCAACGGAATTCAGGTGATAGAGGGTCTCAAAACCTATTGAATTAACCTGTATATGTGTGGTCCGCAATTCTATTGTTCAGGAGATATTTGCAATTTTGTGAAGTTTAGAAAAAAACGGGATAATTGACTTTCAATTTATTTTAACAGTGAGTAGATCTGATCAAAAGAAATGTTTTTTCCTTTAACATTTCTCTGGTAAAATTAAAGTAACAAAGTTATAGCCCTTTAGAAGTTTGAGTACCGCCCTGTCTCAATAATAATATTATGTGCTCGTGTTTGGCAACAACGGATATAATCCGCCTTATCGGTTCATCGCATCGGAAACAAAAAATCGAAAGAATTTGAAACGCTTATCACGATGTTTTTACTACAATTTTATTCAGTTGCATTCAGTCAATGTGTCAGTCGGTAACGCGTGAGTGAATAGTGGTGTTTGTTGCGTGGCTCAAACGATTGGCACATGTTTACGAAAATGCTGAACTTGTGGACATGATTCTTATTTACGGGGGGGGGGGAGTCTTTACAAAATGCTGCCGCGGCATCACGGATTTATGTGGATCGGTTTCCCAATCGAGTGCAACCAACCCCTCGTGCCTTAGTACAAAGGGCTCGTGAATCAGATGACTTAAGACCTCACAGGGGAGGGCATGCCGGTGCTCCAAGATCGCACGATCAAATACAGGTCCGCACTGAAATGCTTGTCGGGAGGATACTTTATAAAACAAGGTAACATTTTTTTCTATTTTTTTTTATTTTTACACACATATTTTGGTTTATCTTCCTTCTACAATCATTATCTGAAAATTAATGACTCAACTTCAAAGTCACCCTGTATATAAAGACTGGTATGAACATCGTCCAAGCCCAGTTGTAGACAATTCCGACGTTACAATTGAGGGGCCTGGAAGTAAAAAGGTTTAAGTACATTTTTAGTACTTCTGAGATAAATGCCTTCAAAGTTTACTTGAATTTGAAAATTCCAGGAATAAATTTATCAAAGTATGATACTATATTAAGTTTATTTAAATGCCAATAAAACATTACAAACAAAAAACATTTTCTTAATTTTGCTTTTTTATTGTCATTTTTGCAAAAATGCACTTGAATCATTATACATGTTACAAAAATTCTGGTGGTAACATGATTCAAGTGCAACTACCATACTAAACCAAACATAATTTAAAAATAATCTATAACAAAATTTCTTATTCATAATCAGAATCTAATATTTGGATGTCTTCATTTTCTTCATCTGAATCAGCTGGTCTTGGTTGGGGTTCATATATATCAGGTACTTTTTGGCTTGATGTCAGGGTCAGGGTTTCTTTTTCCTTTTTTTGTTAATGCTTTCCCATCGTGCTTCATGTTTTTATAAAATGTATGGTGAATGAGCGGAATGTATTCCAATAAGCTAAGCAAGTTTTTGTACTTGACGACTTTAATCTTTATTGAAGTACCATTCAAAGGCTTTAGTATTGAAAAGTAAAACACGGACGCCCATTTTTTGAGGTTGCCATTAAGCAACTGCTAAAGTCTACATCAATCTTTAGGGTACTCTTGTATCGAAATGTTAGTCTTTCGCTTTTATAGTAAGCAAACCAGCAAATTTCTTTCCATTTTAAAGGGTAACCGTCACTGTTTTTTTATTTGGATCGTTCATAGTTTCATTGAACGGCGAAAAAGAGTAAAAATCGTCTTTGTTCATATTGTACACAATAAATTTGGCCGATGAAGACACAGAAATTATACGTCCATAATTGACGAAGATAAAAGACTTTAGAGGTGGTTAACAAAGGCGTCGGCAATGCCTGTTGCAAATCAAAACAAATTAAAGCCGTATTTTTAGAATCATTTTTATTTTCAGCAATATCAGCTTTTTTGGCATCTGTGCTTTCTGGGCCTTTCTTTGATTCAGCTCGAGGTCTTGCTTAGCATTTTTCATCACGTCTTCATTTGTGGAATATTTTATTAAATTTTGTAAATTGTCACAACGACAACAGGTATCACTATAGGGCTTGTGAAATCTTAAATTGAATTCCGTATTGAAAATATGCCTGCAATAGGACTCTTTTACTGGTAATTCTTGTTTGTCAATACAAAACTCCTAATATAATTTGTAAATCTTATTGATACTTAATTCCCCTGAGAGATACCTTGCGTTCCCAATCAGTACTTATTTTGTTTATTATTATAACACTACCAACACTGCAAAATGCGTATTTTTAACTAAGAATAAGTGAAACGTCGAAATCACGTCACACGTAAGACATTAAAAATAGTTGCTCAAGCCTTAGAAGTAAAATGGTTCAAGTGCACTTGAATCATTTTACCACATACTGTTTTAGTAGATATTTTGATATGTTCTCAAAGACTATGAGAGATGGCGCCAGGGAACGTTGCCTGCATTTAAATCATTTTACCACCAAGTTAGGATATGCTGAGGTATGATATTCTGCACCATTTAATTAAAAAAGTGCACTTGAACCTTTTTACTTCCAAACCCCTCAATTATATGGGACTCGCAGGTGCATACAGATAGGTCCATCAACGCTAACAAGCCTGATATAGTCAAAGACAAGAAACTCAAAAGGTGCCTACTGATTGATGTAGCTATCCCATCGGACTACAACATCACGAAGAAGGAGGCTGAAAAACGGCTAAAGTACAAAGACCTCCAAATTGAGACGCAAAGATTGTGGAATATGAAGACGTTCATAATACCAGTAGTGATAGGAGCCACTGGACTTTTATCTCACAATTAGTACATGTGAAGCCATTGAACAAATTCCAGGAAAACACAACCTTCTCGCATTACAGAAAACAGTTGTGTTGAGTAGCGCCCATACAGTGAGAAGAGTAATCTAGTATGTGGAAGCACCCTAGGCGCACGGTGTGCGCTCGGTGTTTTTACCAAATGCACCACACTATAGCATGGCTGTGTGAAAACAGGAAAAATAATAATAATAATAATAGTAATGATAATAATAATAATACTATGGTACGATGTACTTACAAACACAGCATACACCAAAGCCCAAGGCACAAAATCCATATGATTTTCCTCCTTTGATTTTGCACTCATAGGTGTTCATACATGTTCCTGGAATTATATTAAATATCAGAGAGTTTTCCGCAAAGGTCGATAATTAAGTTAAGCTTATTTGACATATCATGCATAAATTATCCACTTGAATGTCAAATAAGTTCACCTCCACGTATGAGGTATTTTTTATTACTAGACTACCAATTTATCGTTCTACCCAATTTTGTAAAATGAAGTATTTTTTTAGCAATAATAAATCAGTTTTCCAAGGATGATGTGGTTTGTTATCGTTTGTCTTTTAGCTCGTTGCTAAAAATAAATATTTGAAATTCGTACATTGAACTTTCATTTTTGTATTTCCCGCCAAAGGTATCAGCTAATACGATTTGATTTCTCACATATAACGGAAGCCTAACCTCCATTGCAGGAGTAAGGTCGTACATTGAGTGGAAACATTTTTCCGTCATGCTAAATCTTATGAAGTTATTGCTTCAACCGATTTAATGAATTATGTCAAAATTATATAAAAATCTTCAAACTAGATATTTGACATGAATAATAAAAAGTGAAGCATAGATACAATAAAAAATACATTTTGAAAAGAAAGCTTTTATTTAGATGTTAATAACCAAAATTTAGAAATGCAGGATGGAAGAAAGGTGTACGCCTTTATTTGAAAACTTGAGACACAGGAGCTTCATTGCCGTTTATTTCAAGGCTGTTTGTTAACAGCTGAATAAAAATTTATTTTTAAAAATGTAGTTTTTATTTTAAATATCAGTATATAAGCTTTTGGTCATTTCTAACCGTAATCAAAGAAATATAATAAAATATGTGTTAAACTGTACATCGGAGCAGACTTTTTCCTCCCCTATTCTATTTTGCTAATCGCTGAAATAATTAAAATGCTTGTACTCGTATTCACAAAATAAGGTATCCTTTAGTGAGGCGCTGTTCTTGTATGTCATCACGATTCATAAAAATTGATATGAAGATGAGCCTATACCATGTTCTATAATGAGTCGATATATATATGTATCTCACATTAACATTAAATTGATATTACAGATCATTGAAGTGGATGAAATATATTAATTTTTGATCAGCTGGTCAAAAGCAAACTAAACAGGCTAGTTGAATGAGCATACCCTTTCTACGGCCGTCTTTGGAGCTGCATTCTTCTTCCACCGGAACAGGGAAAAAGTTCAGAACTGAAAAAAGCGTGTCATTTAAAGGGCGCTGCTGTTTGGAGTTAACTTATTGCATTAGCGTGAAGTTCAAAACTTTTGATAAATTTTTTAATGAGCTTTGGCAACCATGTTTTTACTGCAATAATGTATACACTCAGTAATGGTATTGATTTTAATTCATATTACGCTCAAACCAAATAATGCTCGTCACCTTGTGTGTTTTTTTTATACTCCAACTACCACGAAGGCCTAAAGCCTAAGCACCCATTGGGTACCGTGGGGCTATAGGGGGATACATGGGAAAGGTCTCGTCACCTTGTGTGTTTTCCAAATAATCTGATAACTGCTAGATCGATTTCATCTTGTAAGATTGCGAATGACTTGTAAGAATCGGTATTCTAATGCGCGATCGCACTGGCGTTTTATCAGTATTGCACATGTCATCTTTATCCATCCTTTAGACAAATGTTAAAGCATAGAAGCTTCTTCGTATACCCCATCTTCAAACCTGCACGCAGAAGCTTACCTTAGAAAACAACATAGATATTCAAAACGTTATTTGCTGTAGATCTTAAGTAGAAGACACTAGTCTTCTTGTGGTGACATCATTGTTGTTTGATCTTTTTTTGAGCTTTCCATGCATAAACGTACCATTTCCTTGCATTTTCTTATGAACACATTTTGTTATAAATCAAAAAGTTCAAAGTCACTGTGACACATATTTTTGAGTATAATTATTGTAACCCGTAACTAAAAAATGAGATCAAAATCCTTCCGACGCGAGTTCCTGAAGTGATCAAGAACTTGAAAGTGATAAATAATATAGTTTGTGGATTTTTTAAATTGTACACTTTCGTTATGATTTTCATCTATCCACTCATATCTGGAAATAGTACATACATTGTTGGGACGCGCCAAGCAATTCAAAAAATCACAGACTGTTTTTTACGGTTCTTAGATATGAAGCAAGTTTAGCAGGTTCTGATGATCTGTCCAGTGGTTTCGCGGAATTCCCCAAAAAACTAATAATTCTGGTTCCGTTATACTTGAAAAATGTAATTCAGAAATAGTAGGATATCATTACTTAAATTTTACGCATAATTTATTGCTAACTTCGAAGTCTCATTATCTCAGAGACAAGAATTTCTTTAATAACAAATAATGTTTGACATATACGAGTATACTTCAACAATCAGTCCGCTGGAATTTTATAATTCTGTTAATAAAGACGACGATTATTATTATTATTTTAATGGAATTTTGTTTCAATGTCTACGGAAAGGACAAAAAAGGTATGTGAGCTTTTGAGAATCGGTTCAGAGGCAGCGAAGTTATGTATGAAAAAGGAAACATTCCAGAGCATCTCCAAAGTTCGTTTTTTGACGTTTGTGAAGGTTTAGAAAATATCAGGGCGTAGTCAAGTCTTTTAGAGGGATTTTTAATGCTTCTAAACTTTAGTTCTAATGATATGTGAGTCGTAAGCTTTTGAAAATCGGTTCAGAGGCAGCGAAGTTATGTGTGAAAAAGGAAACATTCCAGAGCATCTCCAAACTTCGTTTTTTGACGTTCGTGCAGGTTTAGAAAATATCAGCGCGTAGTCAAGTCTTTTAGAGGGATTTTTATTGTTTCTCAGCTTTTGTTCTAATGATCTAAGAGTCGGTAAGCTTTTGAAAATCGGTTCAGTGGTAGCGAAGTTACGTGTGGAAAAGGAAACGTTCCAGGGCATCCCAAACTTCGTTTTTTGACGTTTCTGAAAAATATTAGGGCATATTTAAGTCTTCAGAGGGATTGCTAATGTTTCTCAGCCTCTGTTCTAATGATCTATTAGTCGGTTGTTTTTTGGCAACCGTGGAAGGTGCTTTTTGGATGTTTTATGATACTTGGCTTAATTGTTATACTCTTGCTGTATGTATTTGTTGCAGTTCTTATTTTATATTTATCAGAAAACTATTACCTATATATTCATTTGATTTGAATGCATGTGGAATATTTTCAAGTACTTGACCGAAAAAAAAAATACTTTTGATTATGTAGGTATAATAATACCAAAACATCTGCATGACCGAATTGTTGCAATGTGGTGACGTCATGATAAGGCAAGAACTTTTCTTCGTACAACAATATGGTTCTTGCAGGAGCTTTACATTAGTCAAAGTGGAATGCGAACCTATGATAGACAGGTAGTTTAATTTTTTGATATCTTTACCTTTAGGGTACCTGGAACTGCTACTCTTCCCATCAGTGAGTCGATTGAACACCGTACCTTCTTCACCAACCTCTTCTTTCCATACATCAATCACATCATTTTTCGGTTTCGAATCCACCAAGCTAAAATAAACTAAAAACAACAGAACACACCACTCTGCGTGCATATTTTGTCACAATCGGCTCACAGTTCGACCATCACACATTTCAGTAAAATGCACCAAAACTGAAGCAGTCCCATGTTTCGGTTGAATTGCCGAGGAAGAATGCGACTGGTAAAGAACAAGGTCAAAATTATTATAATCCGCCATAAGAAGTGTCTTGGCGTAACAGGTTCCGTTACATCTTGTGCCTTTAGATGTATCTTCGCATCTCGGGTGTTGATGTCGCGGACATCATCCGTTGAACTCTTACGCATTCGATTGACATACAGTTAGGTGCCGAACTGTGCCAAGGTATCGGCATTATTCGATTATATCGAGTGTATCAATGTTCATCAATAATCTTTCAAAAAATGTATTTTATATAATTATATAATTTAAAATCTATACAGTATATTCAGATAAGAGATAGACCGGACATAAACAAGACCACGTGATCATCGAACGCTGTAACATTCGGCAGGGACGTATTAAGAGTCACTCAGTACATATTTTAGATAGTAGATGCTGCTTTGCGTAACTTTGTAGTAAATTAGCACAATTCGATGTGTATACGATTGGTGATGGATATAGGATCATGTGGGGATGGGGTAAGAAATATATAATGATGTGAATATACATAAGGGTTTCAAAATTTTCGCTTCGATTTCCAGCTTCGGATGCCGCCTGATGTTTGGTGAAATACAGTCGAATATAATCTCAAAATGGCGTTTAAATTAGCCTAAATTAAAAATAATCGTATATCTCTTAAAATTGCTTTTAGAATATTGATTAGTATATTTTTTGATTTCTAGGTAAATATGTAACCAAATTAAAACGTTCAAAACGTAAAAAAATGTGCATGGTTGAACATTGTCAGAAAGTAGATTCTTGAATAGGTTTTGCCAAAATGGGTTCAAAAATGTCAATAATTATTATTTAGTCATATTGAAAGAAAGAATATTGAACGTCGTATGATTACTCAGCGCTTCACAATTTAAAGTTATAAACCTTTAAAAATGAATGATCAGGAACCTGAAATACGCGCAAATATTAATATTAACAAATTATAACTTTATAAAGCTTAAAGTATGAATTAAAATGATTAGAGATATTAGGAACGGTACACAATATAAAACTTAGTAAATTTTCTTAAGTTTATAATATTCGACATATTTTAAGATTATATTAAAAAATTATTGAAATATCGAAAACACATAAAAACAAGGCTTAAAAAGGTTCTAACAAATGAAAATGACAATAAAACATCCACGCATTTTATCGAAAGTTATAAAAGTTTTGTTACTTGTAATATGTTTTATCTGCTCCCTGGAATTAATGTTTAGAACCTTGTTGCCAAGGTTTGAAAAACATCCGATTGTTGTCTATTACTCGTATTTACCTGCTGGATTTTTTAATCCGGTGGACAGTCCATCTAGAAAGGCCCTCCTGGATGAAGTTACAGAATCACCAACCCATACTTTACTTGTAGTGTGTCCTGCGTTTACCCACGTTTCATCAAGGTAATAAATCTTCCTGTTTTGATTCCTATATTTCCCAATTTTTGTTAAATAATCCCTCCTCCATAGCACAATTTCTTCTCTATCCAGTAGTAAACTATTACGACCCCGTTTTTTCCATTTGAAATTTAAATGCTTCAGTAACGCATGGAAAGTTGATCCTTTGAAATTTGGCAACGTTGTATCTCCATTTATCTCCTGCAGTACTTTATCTATAGTAGGTATTTCATTCCTAAAGAAGAATTCATGCACTTTCCTCCTAATCGCATGCTTATCAGCTTCATCCAATGATTTAACAATACTTTTGCGATGTTTACTGGTCATTGGCTCAGAAAAGGTGTGATTTTTTTTGTATTGTCTTAACACATTAAACACTGATGCGCGACACACTCCAACTTTGTGAGAAACCTTCATAACAATTTCTTTGATGGTTGATGCCTCGTTCTCCTCGCGCTCGATCTTATATATATTCAAAATGACCTCTTTCATTTCTGCACTCAGGTGTCTTTTTTTAGAGCGTTTCCTAGGTGGACTACAGGAGTTTGCAACTTCATCGGCAGTATCTGTACTACTGGGCATTTTGCGCAAGCAGTTGATAACAATAACAATCAATAACAAGGTATAACAATAACAACGACAAACTCAACAACTTAATAAGATAACAAACGAAAACGTCCAAAGAAATATCAAATTGCAATGATGCACACGACATACGTAACACGTCTGAACATGAATGTGACTGCCTTGATACGACTGCTCTGCCGCTCGTCATAGGCATTTAATTGCGAATTGACCAATGAGGGCTCCTGTTTTACGTCGAGACGGCGGCGTTAGCGTGAAAATCACCCGAACTTTTTGTTTACATCCGGTCTATCTCTTATCTGAATATACTGTAGTAGCCGGTATAGCTATTATCCAGTATTTACTTTTCAAAACGTTGACATATTTCAGATATTTTATATTGGCAGACTCACTTTTGCAACACGTTCAATAAATAGCTTTGCGCTTAGATATACATAAATATGCTAAAACTTGTCGGGATTAGCGAAGAATGTCAATTTTTGCTTTGTTTATCACAAATCCATGTGTGTTGACGATTATATCACCAGCATTAAAAAGTGTATCCGAAAGATGTAGGTGTAATTCTTATAAAAATATATTAATATATTTTAAACTAGCTGATCCGACAGACTTTGTCCTGTGTTAGCTATGAAGTGGGATGAATAGGTAATTGTATTGCGAAGTGTTTGTACCGCCATGTGGCTAGCAAAATACGTTGGCAGCGCTGTCATTCCCCCATCAACTTACCTTGAAAAGAGGCATAAAACTATGTGGAACCAATTTTGTTGCGCCAAATGATGTTATTTGAAAGCAATTATTGTATTGCTGGATATGAGTAGAAAAATGTATAGAATCTGGCCCATTTCTGGAAACCAATGGCTATACTGGCTCTGGTGGTGGTACCAATGAGTCAATTTTTGACTGACGCAACATAATCCAGGATCCATTGGCTTCATTTTCTGTATAACTTTAAAGCCTTGCAATGCGGACTCACAGCATTCATCGGTCCAATAGCAACGATTTGTTGTAAACTGTAATCGATTGCCATGTCAGCTCGATTGGGATTAAATGCGACACTTCATTTCTCGGTTCTGGTTGCTCGTTCTGTGACCTAATTGGTTGCATTTTGAAGAATCACAATTTTAATATAAGGCGTTATTATGGTGAACTAACTTCCACCTTTGTTAATTATTTTTGAACAAATACTTCTCAAAAAACTCACTGAACAAACTGAAAACTGGATAAAAGCTCTAATCTTATGGACTGTGCACTTTTAATTAAATAAAACAATATTTTTTCATAGATAAACACTGTTAAACGATAATATAAATTTGCGGCGTGCGAGCTGCCATGTCAAAATGATAGAGTAGTGAAAGTCAATTAAGCAAAACAAACGTCTTTTCATCATAGAGTTAACTGACAAAGATAACAATTAGGCAGCACTGCAGTTTCTTTTGAACGGGTCATCACAAAGTACGGATGGTAAAGAAATGTAAGTTCAAAAACGAAAACACGGGGTTTTCGTAAGCAATTTTCTGTCACATAGTTAACTGTCAATAGCTGTTGGAATAAAGATGCCGGAGAGGAGTGCCTGTCTCTTTTGGAGATATTTATTCTGCTATGCGTGCTCCATGCTCAAGCAAACTGTCAAACGCGGGTACCTTAAATATTCATTAGGTTATCAATGATTTTCCAACTTTCTGAGCATGTTCTTGAATTTTCTCTCCGTAAGAACCTTCTATACAGCATTAGGAAATTTCTAAAAAAAGATGAATGAAATCGGTAAATTCGTTCTCAAGTTATGGCGTGACCACGCGAAATAGGGATTCATTTATATATATATATGAATCCCTATTTCGTCCCTATATATATATATACATATGTTTACACTTGGCCACGTTTATCAACAAAATCTGATGCATATTGTGTAAATACCATCGCTTTGTTGTCGTTGATCTTTTTGCCATAAGGGCATGCTCACAGGGTGAAATGAGATCACATACGGAATTATATACTCGACTGGGAACGACTATTTCCAGAAGCTTAGCACATTCACAGTCTATAGTTAACCATATATGTAAGAACGATCCTCAGATATTATGAAAATGGGAAACACTCACGTAGTCTTCCACGCATCTGGAAATTTACATGTTTTTGTAGTTGCTTTTAAGGGCAAATATAATTTCTTGTTCAGGGATTTGAAATAAGTTTATTTCATAATGGTTACACACAGTATCATCATTTACACTACAACCTTCTGAACCAGGTGGAGCAAAAACATTACTGAAATAGTGGCAAAACCATTCACTGTATCTTTGGCAGTATTGTTCATATCCTCGTTAAATAACATTTTAGTAGGCAGCCGTGAACAGCGATCTGCTGATGTGAAATGCTGAGTTGTTGAAGGTTGTCGTGCTGAAGAATCCGATACTGAAAGTCGACCAGTTCAATGTTTTGCTGATGAAGATTTCCGTTGTTTAGGGCTCCTCTGTGGTTGAATGGTGAGCTGTTGTGTGTTTTGCTGTTGAAGTCTTTGGCGGCCTTGGAGTTGTAGTTTTTGCTGGAGAAGTTGGTTTCCTGCTTGTCGCTGCAGACGTGTGCCTTGAAGTGGTAGAACGGCGAGCTGTTGTGTGTTTTGCTGTTGAAGTCTTTGGCGGCCTTGGAGTTGTAGTTTTTGCTGGAGAAGTTGGTTTCCTGCTTGTCGCTGCAGACGTGTGCCTTGAAGTGGTTGAACGGCGAGCTGTTGTGTGTTTTGCTGTTGAAGTCTTCGGCGGCCTTGGAGTTGTAGTTCTTGCTGGAGAAGTTGGTTTTCTGCTTGTCGCTGCAGACGTGTGCCTTGAAGTGGTTGAACGGCGAGCTGTTGTGTGTTTTGCTGTTGAAGTCTTTGGCGGCCTTGGTGTTGTAGTTTTTGCTGGAGAAGTTGGTTTCCTGCTTGTCGCTGCAGACGTGTGCCTTGAAGTGGTTGAACGGCGAGCTGTTGTGTGTTTTGCTATTGAAATCTTTGGCGGCCTTGGAGTTGTAGTTCTTGATGAAGAAGTTGGTTTCCTGCTTGTCGCTGCAGACGTGTGCCTTGAAGTGGTTGAACGGCGAGCTGTTGTGTGTTTTGCTGTTGAAGTCTTTGGCGGCCTTGGAGTTGTAGTTTTTGCTGGAGAAGTTGGTTTCCTGCTTGTCGCTGCAGACGTGTGCCTTGAAGTGGTTGAACGGCGAGCTGTTGTGTGTTTTGCTGTTGAAGTCTTTGGCGGCCTTGGAGTTGTAGTTTTTGCTGGAGAAGTTGGTTTCCTGCTTGTCGCTGCAGACGTGTGCCTTGAAGTGGTTGAACGGCGAGCTGTTGTGTGTTTTGCTGTTGAAGTCTTTGGCGGCCTTGGAGTTGTAGTTTTTGCTGGAGAAGTTGGTTTCCTGCTTGTCGCTGCAGACGTGTGCCTTGAAGTGGTTGAACGGCGAGCTGTTGTGTGTTTTGCTGTTGAAGTCTTCGGCGGCCTTGGAGTTGTAGTTTTTGCTGGAGAAGTTGGTTTCCTGCTTGTCGCTGCAGACGTGTGCCTTGAAGTGGTTGAACGGCGAGTTGTTGTGTGTTTTGCTGTTGAAGTCTTCGGCGGCCTTGGAGTTGTAGTTTTTGCTTTAGAAGTTGGTTTCCTGCTTGTCGCTGCAGACGTGGACCTTGAACGGTGTGCTGAAGCTATTTCTTCAATTTCTGGTTCACTCAATGAACAGGATAGAACCATCGAATCATGATGTTTCAGATTTTTGCAGGCATCATTACTGGTGGTCCGTATGCACTGCTTCACAGGTATTTCTGAAAAGAATAAATATATTTACATTTATATTCCATCTCTTTTGTATAGCTTCCTGGTTTGGTGCCCTTGAAACAACTGAGGCCAAGCCTAATGAAATCCAGCTTTTGACCAGTATTACAAGCGGAGTGCGGACAACGCCATTGGCTGCAATGTCGCGGGTTACCGTTGGATCTGGTGACCCGCGGAGAGGCGAGAGGAGTGGTACATCGACTGTGGAATCAGGACGGCTTGGCCGTTTTTAAATCCTGCCAGGATCACACTGCCATCTTAGTCAAATTGCAAAGGGAGGACACCGCTGGGAATTAAAAAAAATTCTTCATTCGGGAGCACCTAGAGTCAGAGAAATTTCACCGCCTTAACGTTTTTTTACTTCTTCTTAAAACGAATGCAACGAGAAGGACTTAGGAACAAATGAAAGCAAGGCCTAGGATAGAACATTTAATGAAAAAGTTATGAGAAGTTATGTTTATTTGTTTTTGGCACCAATGTACGCATTTTCATAAATATAAGAGATATTAGCTATAGCCTCCCGGAGGCAAAAGTGTCAAAGTTAGTTCTTGGATGGTACTCGGAGAAAGAGGAAGAGAGTATGAAATGAAATTCTTACCCTTATAGACCAGAGATATGCACATGTAGTGAGCATGTTTTCCTTGCTGATCAATCAAGTCCTCCAAGTGGCCAAGAAAAGCTGGATTGTCCTCACCACAGGCTACAGATTCTTTATGTAGGAGACAGTCTATGCCTTTACAGGTTGGGCATTTGTATATCTTGTCATCGGCTTCTGAAGTAATCACTGGAACAAAACTTGAAATTAGATTAATTCTGAAAATTCATTATTTAAAAACCAAACTGCAAAGCCTCCAACTTGCTGCAGGGCAGATTTCTTGAAACTACCTGTTGGTTTTTCCACAGAAGTGTCTTAAAGGTTCGTTTTTATTGAACAGTTAATAATAATATTTCTTTATTCAAAAAATCATCAAGCGATGACATGGAATGTGTCATAAGAAAAAGAAATGAAAACTGGTACAATGTGCGAATATCAAAAAGACACTTAAAGGACGACACTAGGATAAAAAGATATAAGACAGTGTATATAACTTTTTAGAATAGACGATACGGTAAAAGAAGTCTACCAATAAAATGTTTCCTAACTTTCCTTTAAAACTATTCAACGACTTAACTTCATGCCTGTCGGCTGTAAGGAGGATAAAAAGCATACATTCAGCATAAACTGGAGACTTTTTATAGTACATGAGATAAAATGCATTGTTAATGAAATTGTCCTTGTAATTATGCGTATCGTCTTCTGAATTTGTTTTTATTTATTTATTTACTTATAGCTAGAAAATTCAAATAGATGCCACAGTGAGAATATGATAATGTTTGAATATTTACTTGCAAGCAGATGACTCACAATGAATTTTAAAATCTAAACGGATGATGCGTTTTTGGAGGATAAAACACACTGGACCTCTTTAGCCTACCCCCACAAGGTAATACAATATGAAATAGCAGAGTATCCTAACGCATAGTAAATATTCGTCCAGACTTCTATATCTAATGTATTTTTTAGAGAATTTTTCACAAAATAACAGTTACAATCATAAAGCGAAATTTGCAGATAAAATCCTTTTCTGGTAGGCAATTTCTAATAGGGGTGTATCCCAATCTGTTGTGGGAAGAGTGAGGGGTGAGGCTGTATTGATACCTGTCTTTCCAAATTGCCTCAGTTTGTCCACATCGTACTAATGACCAAATCATGTTTTGGCCAGACCTAGCATCATTACTCAAGAGATAGCCAAGACTGACTTCGACAACACAACATACCTTTTTGATCTGAATTCCGTCCAGGACATGAGAGAAATTAGAAAATAGTTGCGTCTGGTCGAGCAGAATGGGCCACTCCACATAATTCGATAGTATAGTTTAGTTAAGTATTGAGTTGTAATTTATAACTAGTTAGTGTTTAAGTAAATGTCTTCATAAATAAGAAATCAGATAAATATTTTTTGCCAAAACTTTTAGGACATACGTTAGGTCAATTTGAGTGTCACTTTAGATTTGTTGGATTAAAGTTTCGATTGGCTCTGTTCAGTATCGATCTAAAAATTTGGTATTTTGCATTTCAATGTTGTTAGGTATATGATTCAGTTAACAAATCTTAGATTGGGATTGAGTGCTCATTGCTCAATAAAACAAGAAGTGAAACAAATCAAAATTACCTCATAACTGCCAAGGTAAAAACTATATGTTGAGGTACATGGCATTTCGCAACGCTGATGACTATAAAAGTACATAATACTTATACAGTGCGTCTCAACGAAAATGGAAAGCAGTTTTATGAGCAAACTGCAAACTATATCAAAAAATGTTCTGAGGCAACCTTGATATGTTACTAGTGTATATTTTAAAATTATTCTAATATATTCAGGATGTGCCATAACTTACCACAAACATGTATTTTTTGTAAATTTAATACTATATATTTTATTTTTTATTTCTAAACACAAGAAGCTTTATATCAAACTTCTATAACATATAGGAGAGTTTTGAAGACATTTAGACAAATTCTAGTTCAAAAATCTCATTATCTGATCTGGAAGAAATGCTAAAATATATTTTTTATACAGGGAATCTCAAAAAGCAGAATGTACCTTCTCTCATACATTTCAAATGGAACAAACACCCTTTTTTTGATATCCGTTTATACCACGTAATTCGAACAGTTTTCGAGTGATTGCTATCAATTCCAAGAAAAAAAATATTTCACATTTAGACATAAAATGCGATCTCCCATGAAAAAAATGAATATTTTTTCGCATAACAAGACTCGTCTTAACCCAAGACAGCCGTAATTCATTATGAAATTATTGTAATACACTCCAAGTAGTTCTGTTGATTCCCAGATGTTTGATCTCAGGTTCGGTATGTTTTCACAATCACGCTGTTTCGGCAACTAGGGTAACACTATTGTGTTTAACTTAAAGGACTATACAGGGTGACTTTGAAGTTGAGTCATCAATTTTCAGATAATGATTGTAGAAGGAAGATAAACCAGAATATGTGTGTAAAAATAAAAAAAAATTAAAAAAAAATTTTTACCTTGTTTTATAAAGTATCCTCCCGACAAGTATTTCAGTGCGGACCTGTATTTGATCGTGAGGTTCCCTGTGAGGTCTTAAGTCACCTGATTCACGAGCCCGTTGTACTACATTAACAAAGGCACGAGGGGTTGGTTGCACTCGATTGGGAAACCGATCCGCATAAGCATGTGCCATTTTTTATTTCGTTTGAGCCACGCAACAGACACTATTCACACGCTAACCGACAGACACTGACTGTATGTATAACTGAACTGAATAAAATACTTAATTGCAAAAACGTCGTTCCAAATTCTTTCGCTTTTTTGTTTCCGATGCGATGAACCGGTAAGGCGGATTATATCCGTTGTTGCCAAACACGAGTACATGATATTATTATTGAGACAGGGCGGTACTCAAACTTCCAAAGGGCTATAACTTTGTTACTTTAATTTTACCAGAAAAATGGTAAAGGAAAAAAACATTTCTTTTGATCAGATCTACTCACTGTTAAAATAAATGACTCAACTTCGAAGTCACCCTGTATAGACCGCTGGCGCCCTAATAATAATTGTATAGGTAGAGGCGAACCGATCAATTGGCGAGCGAGTTCTTCCGATCTCACGCATCTCGACTACTTTCTGTGAGCCCATGTAAAAGGAGAGGTTTAGGAAAAACCTAGAAAACCCCCAGGACATTAAACATCGTATAAGCAAGTTGTTTAAGTAGGTACTTACTTACTATTTCAACAGGCGTCTAATATTCGAACAATTTATTAACGATTGATTGCCTTAAAGATCACCCAGAAACTATTAAAGGATGTAGAAATATACATTTTACATTTTTAAGAAATCGTATATTTTGCGTTTGGAGACTAAATAGGAAGAAATATCAGCATTTTAACCGAATCAGCTTAAAATCGATGATAACGAAATATAAGTAAATCAAAGTTTATCTTCAAAAATGTCGTAGCTGCGAGCCATCAAAGCTGGGCATTTTCTTCAAATGTTTCACCAAATATCTAAACAATTGACAATCGAAACCATGTTATATGATATGAAACTGATTGTTTTTAAAAGCTCTAGTCAAATAAGCAATAAAATATAGGATGTTCCATTCAAAAAAATATATGTTTGCTGATAACACTAGTAACATATCAAGGCTACCACGAAAATAGGTTTTTGGTATCTTTTGCAGTTTGCCATAAAACTGTTTTCCTTTTTCGTTGGGATATAGGTGTTTCACAGCTTATCCGACAAATTTTAACCACATATGCACTGTTACGAAAGAAGTTGATTTCTCAAAAAAAAAAATAATAAAAGTCCTACAGAAATTAAGCTATAAACCTGAGTTTCAATAATAAATTGAAAAATGAATATCTGTATTTTGCGTTCATCGTCGTAATATTAGAACACGCATTAATAATTTATTGTAGCAAATGTTGTACCAAACAACTGACGAAAACAAAACACCAGGAATTTTTTGTTTTTTCATACTGATAAGAATTTGTAAATGAGGTTTAATCTGTATCGTGAGTGATCTGAATGAAGAACGGTCGATTTTTGTGAAGTTAAATAAGAAAGTATTTTGCGAGTTTACGTTTTTAGTTATTTATTAATAGAAATGGCACATGTGTACACTAACGACTAGTTAATAGACATTGCTTTAGCGTATGGAGATGCAAGGCAAAATTCGCGAGCCGCTTCTCGTTTGTATGCACACCGATTTCCGAATAGGCACATACCACATCACGAAACATTTAGTTCAGTTGTTTTACCTGCACATGCAAGTGGAAATTTGCGCCCCAGACGAGGTGTGGATGGAGGTCAGGTTCGCCCACAACGCGTTTTAAATACCGAAGACGAAATGTTTGATATTGTGGAAGAAAATCCGGAAATAAGCACAAGGCAGTTAGCCCAACAGGTTCCAGAAGTGTCACATGCAACAGCGTGGCGCATATTACATGAGGCCCAACTGCAGTCAATGAAAACAATTTTGAACAGCTTTGATAAGGTGAACTGTTAAACTGTATTATTTTATTGTCTCGGTTTCTGTAGGACTTTTATTACATTTTTCTTTAAAGAAATCAATTTCTTTCGTAACAGTGCATATGTTAAAATTTGTCGGATATTATGTGAAACACCCTGTATAATATACTGACTACAAAATTTTGATGACAAACAAATCATATACTTAATTAATTGATATAGCATAAAAGAAGTACACTTACCTCCACAGTATAGGAAAAATAATACAACAACCAAAACACCCCTCATCTTAGTGACAATTAAGAGTCTGCTGTACTATCTACCTTTTTTCTTGATTATATACTTTTTTTTTATCAATATCTTATCAAAGTACTTCATATATTAAGTATCGTGTTTCCTCTTGTTCGTTACGTCAGCCTTTTCTAGGTATCAAGACCACTCCACTCTCAGGAAAATTTATTTAGTCAAGTACCCAATTGGATAATCAGATACTTATCTGTGATCACGTGTACTTTGTATGGTTCAGCTTAAAATACTTTGCCCACTTCTATATTTATTCTGAAAAAAGCAAAGCTGGAATACGAAACTAAGAGCAGCATCTACTATAAAATTTACTGCTCATAAAAGTCGGTAGCACCTTTTTGTAGACTGTTCATAATTTTAAATACCTATTCTCAAAGAATCTAGAATAAGATACAGAAGCCTGACAGGCCTGTCTGGCAGAC